AAAACGTAAGAGATTGAAGTTTTAAAGGAAAATTCTCAGAATAAGCTTAATAAAAAAGCTTATAGCCTTATCACACATAAATGAACTTTAAATTAAAATCACCGGTTTATAAATATTTTTGTTTATGGTAACGATGGTAATTTTTGGATTTTTTGATTGACTCGGATTCATGGATCCGCACAAACTGGGGTATATGCAGATGCATTTGAAAAAAGGGTCAAAAGTTTAATATGGTTTTGTCAAATAATGTGTGCATAACAACGGAGCTGCCGTATTTTATAACAACGGAGCTGTTATGTATTGTACATGGCCTCTAATTGGCCTTTTACGATACATAAATTAAATCATTAATGTACTTTTTAATATTAGTTCAACAGATGTAGAAGATGTTAATGAATATGATGGCAATATATATTTTAATTTTGATTCTGATTTTCGGAAATGGAACTTGAAAGTTTTGGAGGAGAATACAAAGATATCGACACTACCCAACTTGTTCAGCAAATTACAAAGCTAAATTCTTTAACTACAAAAGTTTGTAAATTTTAAAAATTTTCAGAAAATCACAAATTAAAATAATTCATTAAAAAAATACGTAAAAAAAATTTCTCGAAAAAGAACTTCATTCACTTTTAAAATGTAAACCTAGATGGAGTAGTTTATTGAGCATACTGGAAAGATTTTTAAAACTTAAAGATGCTTTTCGGAAAAGTCTGATATATTTAAAAATTTAAACTGATTTTAATATTTTAATGAAAGTGATGCAAAATTACTTTCAAATATAGTATCAAACTTGCAACTAATTAGGTTGGCCGTTGAAACACTTGACAAACCTTTAACAAACCTTTTGTTGGCCGTCGATACACTTGCACTAAAAAGATTAATTTATATTTAGTCCATTTTTTTTTTTTTTTTATTAGTAAAACTTATTGTCGCTAATTTAATGGGCATTCTTGAAGCGGAAAGTGGGGTACCAAAAGGTGCATTTTTAAAGTTTTTTTTTAATTTATGGTGAGGTTAAATAGTGACTTCTCAATTTAAAGTGCAAAGAAAAAGCAGACCAAAAAAATTTCGTAACATTATTCATTAAAAAAGTATTCAATTAACTTTTGTTAAGTATTAACCTTCTTTAAGTAGTTAAATATGTAATCATTATATCAATTGATATTAATAAAACAAAAAACTTAAACAACTTTGGTTTGCATTTAACTTCATTCATATTTTTTATATTCAAGTTTGTTTATATTATATATGTTTCAAATTCAATAAAATGTTTGATAACTGTTTAAAACTTATTCAATGGAGTTTAAAGAACCTTTCTTGATTTTTTCAGGGCAAGGTTTTTATTTTATATTTGATTTTATGGAAGCTTACAAGTTCCGATTAATAAAAAAATAAGCGGACACAAAAATAAAATATTAACCCTTTAACTGTGTCTGATGGATATATTCGTCTTTCAAAGGTGTAGCTCTATGTGTGTCTGACGGATATTTTCGTTTAATGAAACTGTAGTCTGCTGTGCGACTGACGGTTATTTCTGCATTTTGGAACTGTTGCACCGTATGCGACTGACGGATATTTCCGTTTTTTTCATGAGTTGAACAACATATTTAACATATCACATATGATATGTTAAATGGTCTTATTTTCAAGTATTTTATGTTGTAACTTAAAACTGATATATGGTCTTCATTTTATACTAAAAAGGTTTTACAAAATATTGCTTAAAGCTTGAAATGACACTGCTAAAAGTTTAGGGAAAAAACATGGCTGCAACAGAGAAACTATTATTTTAAAAATCTAGTAGACTATATGCGACATAGTAATTATTTATTACACCTTAGTTCTAAGTATAATTATTCTAATAAAGGATATTACTTTACTAAGACAAAGAAGAAGTTGCAAATTCATTGACAGATAATAGTATAAAAAACTTATATTGACAACAAAAGTTTTAAAAATACTGCTGTTGGCAGTGATGCTAAGCTATAAGGACCAAATGTTTCAAACAATAAATGGAATTAGATTAATAAAAAAGACAATAAAGCGAATTCTGTAAAGTTTAATGTGAAGCAAAGACTTATTTTAAACTTTGTTAATTTATATTAGCTCTTCTACTTGATTTGAAGCTTTTGTAACTGAAGAGCTTGGTTGTTTTATTGTAAAGCAAGATTATTTTGCAATAGAATCTTTTAAAAATAATAAGCTCAAAAATACATCAATACTTTAGAAATGGATAATTTTATTCAAAATCAACATCAGATGGAACGTAGTATTTACTTTATACCGTAGAATCTTGTATAAACCAACAGATCCTTTGTAAGTTTTAAAAACACCTCTGTTTGATGCACCAAAATATAAAAATCAATGTCCTTTTATAAGTTTTGTCATGTTGAGAAAAGTCTTTGTTTTGTTAACAACATTAGTTTGCCAAAACATTTCAAGAAAAATGAACGCGAAGATTTTATTACTACTTATTCAACAAGTTCAAAACTATTTGAGCTAATTTAAAGTGAATTGGCAGAAAAAATGTTGCTGCTTTAGTAATTCCATATAAATTAAAGACAATTTCATTCACAGAAAATGTTTAGAAAGATTTGGAATATAATATTTTGCATTTTGCATGAATCAGATACTGGCTATATTTTGGACTTTCTTTGTGTATGCTGAAAGTGAAGCAACCTCAAGGTTTGCTCGTATTTAAAATAATGTAACTTTCAAGCTACTCTAAGTATTCTTACACTAATCAACCGCTTAATCGGATACAGTTGTTGTTTGCACGTCATTAATGAGTTTATATCATGTGAAGTTTACAGTGTAGTGTATCATTTATTAATCAGAGTATTATTAAATATGGGAAAAAGTAGCATATTGTATAAGTAATGTATTACCTTCTACTTAACAAATAACAAAAAAAAATTTTGAAATAGTTACAGAGAAAAGTATAACACCAAGTAGAAGGTTTATAATAAGCATTTTGAACTAAAACCAGAGAGATAAATTATGTCTATAGACTAAAATTTATGTAGTGTTTGTGTGTTTATGTTTTGTTTAATGTAATCGAAAGAAAAAAAAATTAATGTGAACGTAAATTTAACTTTAGTATTCATTTTATAAAACTATAAAATAATGTCTTTTTCATTTTGACATTGCCTGAAAAATTTTGTTCCTTATAATACTGTTATCAAAAAGTGTTAAATGCTAATTTTAGAACTTTTTTTTTATTTAATTTTTTTTTTTACAATTTTCAGCGTAACAAACTAGAAATAATTAAACAACTTAAAGCAATCATTAACCAAAAATGTTTTGCCGTAAATAACAACGCGATGTTTAAATTTACGCTGCAGTTAAGGGGTTAAAGAGTTTAAAAGTTTTAGATACATATCTTTTTACATTTTAGTAAAATTAACTCAACAGTTTTTTTTAAAGTAAGATAATCCTTAACATTTTGAAGCAATTCTGCTATTAAATTGCCGCTTATTTTAACTTGAAATTTTTGTTTACTTTCTTAATGCTATTTCCGCTCTTCTAAACAGTTAAAAAGCATCAGGTAGTACAGACCAAAGACCACTTTGATGTTTTAAATTATTATAAATTTTAGGTTCTAGGATAAAATCTAACCACCCACCCCAGAAAAAAATCACCCTGAAAAATATCTTCCAGGAAATTAAAAAAATACTCCCCACCCCCACCCCAGGAAAATATATAATACAACCCCCACCTCCACCCCACCCAAAAAAAATACATTTTTTAATATATCGGTTTAAAATTGTTAAATTAGCAATAAATATTGATTTAAAATTGATAAATTGTCTGCCCAAACCAAAACCTTCAGTAAATATCCCCAGCGGGCATTTGTTTTCAAAAGTTACGTTTTAAATGTATTTTAAATATTTTTTAAACGTCTTCTGAGTGTTTTTATGTAAAGAACGTTTAATAGACGTTTAAAAAACGTTAAAAAGACATTTACAACGTAACTTTAAAAAGCAAATTATCATAGGGTTTCGGTCTATGTACACTCCTTTCATGTTTTTCTTATTTGTCAGTCGATGTATGTACGCTCATTGTATGTTCTACCAATTTGTCCGTCGATTTATGAAAAATGAAGAAATAAGGTTCTTTTTGTATTATAATATGAATGTATAAAATAGTTATATTAAAAACAACTATTATATTGATATATCGTTTATTTTATGAGCTGTAAAAAATAAAGTCTTCAGGGTTGTTTTTTTTACAGCTCATAAATTAAACAATATATCAATAAACGATATACCATTTTTTTTTATAATAAAAACAATTATACGCTGCATAAAAGAGTTGAATTAAACTTGAATTAAACAGCCGAAAAGAAATTTAGAATTTACTTTGATTAAATCAACTGTGCTCCCTTTTTTAATAACCTATTTTTTACTAAAAAGTAATAAATACGTATTCATCCAAATATTATTTTAATTTTTTTTTTCTAAATATGATTAGAAGGGTTATATCCTACTAAAGAAAAATTCTGTAAAATAAAAATTATTTAACCGGAAACTTTTAAAAAAATTGAATAAAAAATTTTAGCGTCACTTAAAAAATTTATTATCTTCTTTTTATTACCTTTTTTAATACTATTACCCCATAAAGTTTTGGATTGCTTTTAGTTACGGTAAAGTTTTATCATTGCAACCATAAATTAATTTGTTTTCAATTAATAGCTTCTGTTATATTTTGTTGTTGTTATTGTATAATGTCTTTTATTTCATTTTAAAAAAAAATGTATAAATAAAATTTTACCTGATGATAAAACAAACAAATGCGTTGAAAATATTAAAACTATTTTAAATCAATTAACAGTTTTCTTTTTTTTTTTTTTTAAATAATCTTACACATTTTTTGGTATCTTTTATTAAAGACAGTATTATATATATATATATATATATATATATATATATATATATATATATATATATATATATATATATATATATATATATATATATATATAATTTATTTTTCAGATTTTACCAAAACCCTATGGAATGTTTCCAATGTAGTCACTTTAAATGGGTATGTATCTTTAATTTAATTTTTACGTACATTTCACTGCGCCTACATCTATTTAATTCATTCAATGAATGTTTGCTCATTTGTTTTTCCTTTTCAAGTCAATCAAAGTTTGTGAACTGAATATATATATATATATATATATATATATATATATATATATATATATATATATATATATATATATATATATATATATATATATATATATATATATATATAACCTGTAATAACAGAATTGACCATTCTGGAAATATAGATGGCGTCTTTAAATTAATGAAACTGCGTACGAAAGGCTTTTCATACATAGTTTTCAATTTTAAATTAGAAATGAAATAAAAAAAATTGACTATTAGTAGGTACCAGCAATTTTTGGTACTAATCTGTTTTTAATTGAAGTATATCAAAATAAGATTTAACTTAAAAAATATATATATAAAGTTAACTCGTAGCCATCTATTTGAAAAATAAGTTTAAAAAACTAACGGTAATGACGCCATTTTATTAAAGAAATGCGTCATTAACAATAAATCAACATAAACAAAACTGAAACTTTTTCTGCATTTCTTTTTTTTTTAAACTTTATCATTTATAAATAAAGAACTAAAATATATTGACAAATCTAAATCAAACAAACCAGATTTAAAAATATAATCTACAGAGGAAGCACTTCATAATTTCGTTTGGAAACCCTTTGCATTAAATTAAAGACGCAGCCACTAGAATTATAAAATAATTAGATTAAGCTGCATATAAAGTAAAAATGACATACATACGTACATACATTCAGCATTCAGGGCGGACGACACTAAATTTGAAACGGGGGAGGGGGCACAATCGTCAATTTCTTAAATAAGTTCCCTGTATCAAGAATTTTCAAAAAAATACAAATATCCTAGAAAAAAGTAGGAGGGGGGGAGAGTGCCCTAATTGCAAATAATATTTTTAGCTTACATTCACCTGCAAGTCTTATATAATGGATACAATGTGTTGGTAATCTAAAAAAAAAGAGGCAAATAATTTTTAATTCAAAAGCGTGCAAGGCAAATAAAGTCAAGTAATAAAAGTGCCGTTAATTCTACAAATATGTTTTATCTAATGTTAACTGTATTAACATGTAGCAAGAAAAGATTATAATACTCAACAAAACCAGGAAACAAAAAGATCTAATTTAATGAAAATGTGCATACAAACTTTGGTTTTATGTATTAAGTTGAGGCTAAGAAAGTTATATGTAAAAGTTAAAAATTAAAACTATTAATTTTTTTTAGTTAATTTAATATAATTACTTTTAAATTATGTGTTTATAGTATAAAATTTTTAGTAGCAATATCTTAAATTTTTAGTGTTTAAAATTATCTATTATATAATAAATAAAAAGTAAAAAAGTGCCACTATAACTTCACTTACTTACTGGAACAACACGTACTTAATTTTAATGTTGTCGACGTTGTTTTCTCTACAGATTTAACTTAAATTGATGTAAATTGTTAGTAGTGTCATTTTGGGTACTAATAACTCACCAACCAGTTATAATTGATAAACTTTTTCATTGCTAGAGGTATTGTTTTTTTGGTACAATTTTTTGCTAACATTAATTAGCTCAGCCATTTGTGTGCCTTTTGGTTGAAGTGATATAATTATATCATAGGTTTTCAAATAAAGTTGATATGGTGTATTTCAGTTGTAATAAATAATGAACTTGTATTTGTTAAGTAAAAATGGGTTAAGTAATTTCAAAAAAGGATTATATTATATAAATACTAGCAAATGTAAGCTTAAACAAAAAGAAAATATGTCTAAATCAATACATTTATGCATTTAAAAAAAGAAAAAAAGAAGTTGAGGTAACTATTGAAGAGCTATTAAAGTAACGTTTGCAGTGAACGTTAAGTCAACCTTTGCTGTTTGTTATTTGAACGTTCGCAATGAGCGTTCAAGAACTTTAAATCTGAGTTCACATAAGTTGGTTCAAATAATGTTTGCGGTGTGCATTACGCAAACCTTAACGAACGTTATAATGACGTTTGTTGAATGTTAATTTTAATTGCGATTAAACAGTTTTTCATATCTTTTACGGGACGTTCATAAAACGTTCTTGAACGTTCACAGCATTCGTCGAACGTTCTTGAACGTTTTGTGTTTGCTGGGTATTTAACTAAAGTATAAACAAAAATAAATATATCTTAATACAAAGGGTTTCTTTGAACATGCAAAGGGATTTGGTAAAAAAAAAAAAAAAAAGATTAAATTTTTTTTGTCAACCTAGAGGCAATTTTAGGGTCAAGGTTGGGATTAGGGTTTCAACCCTAACTCTTTTTGATCAGGGTTAGGGTTAGAGTCAGAGTCAAAAATATATTTAAAACAAATGATGTTAAGGGCAAAGCTAAAACATTTTCCCCTTAAGTTAACAATTGCCCCTAAATTAGTCCTAGCCTTGTGGGAAGGGGGTTGAAATGGGGATGTAACACTAACTAAAGAAGTTAATTTTCAAGTTTTAGTTAGAGTTTTTTCCTAATTTAGTCGCGTACTTGACACAATTCAGTCGGCTGAATTTTAATTTTTTGACCTTTGCTTTTTTTTAGCGAAACCAGGCGTTACTTTTTTTCAAGGATTCAACCCCCTCCCTGATTTTTTTTTTAGAATCGCCTATGTCTCCATGATGTGTCTATTATCCGGGCCACTGTGCAATGTTGACACAAAAAGGAAAGAAATGTGGAATATAAAACAAGTTTATCAACGTCCTTTTAATTAATTTAAGTTTATTATATCCCAGAGAGCAAGGATATAACGGTCCCGCACTGGTCCTGTGTAGGCTGCCGCGCTGGACCGGCTTTGGCTGCCGACGCTGGCGACGCTCCGTTTTGCTATAAGGATTTCATATGGACCAGATGTGGCTACCCAGCGATCGCAAAACAGCGGCTAGCCAGTGCAGGACAAGAACTGGCAGAACAACGATTAGCCATTATTACATACCACCGTATTTTCCCGTACCATCGGGATTTAGTCATTGTTAACTAACTGGTTCGCGCATGTTAGATTTAGTCTTTGTTAACTAACTGGTTCGCGCATGGGATAGTTATGGAGTTTCCTCGGGCAATACTATTTGAAATCACTATGTTTTCTTTTCAGACCCCGTCTTCTTAATTATTTTAAGTTATTTTTAGCATAATCGACCGTAATTTTTTGGTTTAAAATTGGCGTATTTTTCATTAGTTTAAGGACAATAAAATGTATTAAACTCATGATTATTGACAAGTTTAAAAATTATGCATAAATTTAAAAAAATCAGGCTTAAATTTCAAAATATATTTACAAATAGCAAAAATAATACAAAGTTTTAATTCATAACGATTCGACAATGGTGCGCTCCTGCAATTTATATTCAATTGTCAACATGATTCGTGATAAATTTCTGCTTCAATTTGTAAGGATTTAGTCTTTTTTAGTGCTTGCATCCATTTTAACTTTAATAAAATAAAAACAAACATAAGCACAACTTAATAATTAAATACATATATTTTTATACAACATAGCAACAACATATGTACTAAATGGTCACAACTTGTAAACAACATGGTTATCATGTTACAATAACAATTATTTTTATTATTGACAAAATAGTTCAATCCATTAACAAACCATAGTTACATAGACTTGAGTTATAGATGTTTTAAAACTTTGTGAACTAAAATGTAATGAATATCATAATAAAAATTTACAATTACAACCAAATGCAGGATGCTTAAAAATATATTTATTAAAACATGTGGTAATTGGATTATTATGGACCAAAACTCAATGACACGCAATTTATTATTTTATTATAAATAGATGAATGCCACAGTATAATTAGTATGTCAATTTAGGCTGTTCTCGATGACCTTTTGCGAGTATTTGCGTACTTGTAAAGTCAAAAAAATTTGTAGTTCTTATTATATATATTTTATTTATTTTTTTATTGTAAAAGTTATTTTGAATAAACAAAAAAATATTTAAAAAATTTAAAAATTAAAATTAAAATGCCTCTCAATCTTATTAAATTTTTTTATACACAGAAACTATTTTATAAAACACAGTAAATCTAGTCATTAGTAATAGTAAAAATAAAGAAAAAAAACTTATCCTTTACTTAAACACTGAAAACAGAAATATTAATAACTTATTTGATTAAGTGTAAACTTACTAAATTTAGATAAACCATTTAACTTGAGATTTGGCATTTTTGTGTCAAGGTTACGTTTATTGCCATAGCTTTATTAATATTTGCTACATTTATGAGGTGGCACATTAATCATCTTAAACAAACTCTAAAAACAAAACATCAGTACTTTTGAATATAATAATTAAAATTATTTTGTTTAAAGTTTTTTCATATAAAACAGACCAAATAAAAAAAAGCATCAAATCTGTGGAATAGAGTTTTATTATCTTAGTTGCAGAAAGTTTGGAGCATACATACTAAAAAAATATATATATAAAAATATTTGTTACATACTAAAACAAAAATCAGCTCAAGAGCATCGTTAGTGGTAATTCTTTATAACTTTTAATGAAAGTGTTTTAAAAAAGAATTATCGAGAATAAGTGACTTTGGAAGTTTGACATTAGGGCAAATCAAACACTTCTTGAAATTATTAGATAAAAGAAATATAACATTAATAGTACATCATTATTTAGACCTCACCTTGAATATTGAACACCATTAAGGAGTTTATATATATGGAAACATCTTACTATGATTGAACAACAAGAGTAACTCGTGTTTATAGTTTAAAAGATTTATCATGTAAAAACTCACTGATAAACCTTTCTCTCCACATTAAATATTAGAAGATCAAGAGGTGATGTAATATAACTATACTGAACTGTTAATGACTTGGATGAAATAAATTGGCATAAGGCTCCAATATTTATAAAAAATTCCATTACAAAAGACAACAATAAATGAAATATAAACAATAATCCAAAAAATCAAACATTCAACATAATTTTTTTATAAACAGAATAGCCAACAAATAAAACCATTTATATCTAAAAGTTGTGAAAACGAAAAACTAAGATATATTTTTAACACTCTTCAATAAATATATAGAAAAATGTAAAAAGCTGTTAAAGTCTGTCATCTACTTTTGTTAGACTATACACTTATAATGTGTATCACAACTTTGTTGGTTTATTTGTTTATTGTATTTATAAGTAAACAATTTAGCAGTTTTATTTGAAAAAAAAAATTAAATAATGATTAAACTTGAAAAAAAAAAATAATAATAATAAAGTCAACAACGTCTATAATAAAGTCTATAATAATAAAGTCAACAACAATTTCTTCAAATTATTTTGCTAACACTTATGTGTTCAAATCTAGATATATAGACTTGGTAACTTTTCCTATCTAGTGCTTCATATGTTTTATATGTATCTATTATTGTATCAATATATATGTATTTATTTTTTGACTACAACAACTTTGCATAACTCAATAACATTCTTATACTATTTTTCCAAAAAAAAAAATGTTGCCTTTATTTTATTCCTATTAAACGATAAGAATATAAAAAATAAATGTGTTAATAACACTCAAATTATATTCCAGAAAAGTTATAAATATGACAACGGAAAGATAATAAAATAAAACAAAATTGCTCAAGTAATCTTCGCAATAATAAACATAAACTTTATAAATTTCCTTCTTTATCAAACCAACATTTCTAACAATTTTTTTTTTTTTTTTATCAATACCAATCAATCTTCAGTTACCATAAATTAGGTTTTATAATTCTTTAATCAACTTAGGTTTTAATTTTAGCTAGGTAAAAAAAAATTAATACGAAACTTTATTTATTTAACGAAATAATTAATTGCAATAATTTATTTAGAAAATATTTAAAAAACAAAAATTTTCGTTTATAAATATTAATTTTTAAAATTTATTTAGAAATTATTATGCACGCAATATAGAATCATCTGATAGTATTTTTTTAAACAATAAAGTTTTAAGATTTATTTGAATGAAAAGTGAAAAAAACGACTTTTAAGATGAATGCAACAATCTTTTATAGATTGATCTATAAAGTCTTTAAATTGCGGCCTAAAATTTTATTCCTAAAACAGCATAAAAAAATGTAAACTCGTCACTAATTGCTTTTTTAATGCAACTAAAAGCCTTTTTTTTAATGTTTTCAACAAATAAAATATTAAACGTTTTAATTTTTGTCTTCATCATTTAGATATAATATAAGAATCAACTTGCAAATTTATCCTGTATTTAAAGTATTCTTAAATGCTTATTTGGAATTTGAGTATTTTATGCCACCGTATTTTTACTTTACAACTGAAAATGTAGTTCAAGATTTTGTTAGGTCTGATGCCAATCGAATGATGTACTTTGTAAGTATTTTATTTTTCTTTGATTTATTTAAATAAAGCATAACATTGATGCTCTAGTTTTGTTTTGAAGTTATAATTTTTAGCAATATCAAGCACAAATAATATTGTTTAAAATTAAAGAACCATAAGGTAAGAATATTTGCTTTTTCGCATATCTGACACGGTCCATTCGTACACTAATTAATATAAATACCTGGGACATCTGATCTCAAATGATATGCACAATGACAAAAAGATATATTAAAACAAACACGTTTTTTGCGTGCAAATTTAACATCATTAGTATGAAGTTTTGTTCAACTTAATTTCAAACGAGAATAATTTTGTTTAATGCCTTTTCTATTCCGACATATGGTTGTCAACTTTGTAATTATCTGCAAAATGACGCATATAGCAATGCACTTTGTCTCATTCTGAACAAAACACCTTGGAACAATGCTAGTGAACTTGTTGTAATGCATGGTCGCCGTCCACCTAATATTGTAATTCGTAAGCAGCATTACTTCTCTATTATTGTTACAAAATCTTGTAAACCTAAACGGATACTTGCAATCTCTATTGATATTTAAATGGAAAACATAATCAGGGACGTTACAAGATGATTTTTGGTTTAGCCCAAAATTAAGTGTGCTCCTCTCCTTTTTTTTCTTTATTTTTTTGACCCGACTGAGTGCAGTTTAAAAAATTTTGGGTTTTAATAATTTTTTAACTGCCTTTTGACATTTCTAAAACGTTCACATAAGCTGAAAATATGATTTTAGCAAATTAAAAAAAAGTTGTTTGTGAAAATACTCAGCGTAATGTATATTATACATAGGATTTAATAGTTTAAGTACTAGATTTCGGCAGAAAAATATTTAAGTCCTCGATATTTTTCTGAAAAATGAAAATCAAATGGTAAATTCATAGCAGACGCATAACTAATTAACTTTAATTATAACGGAAACCAAGCCTATAAAATGTAACGAAATAAAAATAAATTTCATTAATTTCCATAAATAAAATCTAGTCTTTGTTCCTTGGTGTTCTTGTGTTATCAAGCTTTATGGTAAAAAAATATATAATTTCTTTATCAAGATTTTAGATCACATGATTATGAAACGGGATACAATTACGTATTTTATTTTATTATTTTTTATTTTTATTTTACTTTTAGACTTTTTTTTTAATTTATGAATTTTTTATTTAGTATATTGTAAATATTTTATTCTCTTTATTTTATTTTCCTTCTAATTTTTTGAACCTTGAGTCCCTAAATAAATTTGAATTACTGATTGTAAACGAGAACTTATTTAATGATTTCAATACTGCCATAGCTCTTCGCATATTTTAAAATAATGACATTTAAAAAAAACTTCAACCTATATGCTTTTTTATAAGGTTAAAAAAGCACCTGATTATTAAACTCTAAATATGAGAGGAACAAGTTAAAATATTTTTTACTATAACTAACTAAATTTATATTTATCTAAACTTTTAAAAGTTATATGCTATCACCATGTAAAGTTTGTAACCCTCTAAAATTTAATTCAAACATAATATGGTCCCAGCTTTTAGATGCTGAAAGATAATACTATAAAACTCAAAAGCTATGAAATTAAATTTAGTTAAAAATATTTAAAAAATCGTTTTTTCAAAATATTATATTGCTCGTAAATTTGGGGAAGAAAAGGCAAAATTATTTGGGCTTTGTTCTCAGATTTTATTCCATGCAATATTTTGAAATGCATTCTTATTTGATATAAGTATAAAAGTTTAGATTTATGGAGTTTTCACTCAAAATAATGCTTCATTCACCCCTGCCTAAATTGTATTAAGTAAACTATATTTATTCTTTTTTTTTATCCTTAATATAATGTTTTTTATCATAGTTTTAGTTTTGTCTGTATTTATACCTGCTAATTCTACCAAGTAAATTTATTTAGGGACAAACTCAATATAAAATTATCTTATTATCAGGTTCACGAATAGCTAATTAGTCACTAGCCGGTTTCTTAAATATTATGTTCGTCACATTCTAAACTAAAACTAGTTTTTATACTTTTTAGTTCAATGGAAGTATCCATTCTTTTCACTCATTCAATTACAGTTTTGAAGCAACTATTCTTTGTTCTAAATGCCCTATAGCTGGAAAGTTTACATTAGACATTCCATTAAAAGTATCAACTCAAGTAGAATCTGGTTACCCAATAACATTTTTCAAAACGTCTCGAAATTTGGTTGAGTGCAATAGAGTTTTAAAAATTCCAGTTGTTGTGGAGAAAAATATACTTAAAGGTGATTGATAATAAACAAAATATTAATAAAGTTAATAATATTAATAAAAAGTAAATAAGTAGTTAATTTAGTTAAATCCTCACCTTTATTTATTTCATTCATGACTTAAACTGACTTTATTGGTCAAATTTTGCAGTTAACTTTACTTTTATTTTGATTATTTTATCCATTCTTTAACATATATATATATATATATATATATATATATATATATATATATATATATATATATATATATATATATATATATATATATATATATATATATATATATATATATATATATATATATATATATATATATTATGCCACTGTCATGTATAGAATATCACTTGGCTCAGTGTGGAGTTTACGTATTGTATACATATATTAATTAAGTGGCGCTAAAGATATTTTTGGGAAATACAAAAGAAAAACTTGCAATTTTCGCAGTGGAGTAATTTAAGGTCCGGAATTAAAACACTTTCAAGTTAATTTGTTTTGCAGCTGTTATGTATTAAATAACATTAATAGTTGTATCATGCTTATAATTGGATAAATAAAGTTTTATTTTGTTTGTATCATACTTTAATTTGGACTTGTAAATAATAAATAATTATCCAATAACTAGGGTTTGCAATCCCGGACTTTTTTATAATCCCGAAATCCCGGGATTGTCTAATTTCAATCTAGGGATTCCCTATACGATCGAGCAAAACAAAGGGGAAATTAAAAAAGATATAAAAATAACAACAATTTATGCCCATCAATATAATAATTTTTATTTAGTTTAATTTCGCAGAAGTTAATTCTATTTTTAGTATTATATTCTGTAGTTCTGCATAATAATCTTTTTTAAACTAAAAAAAGAAGCGTCTTTCTTGCAAGGTTTTTTCTTTAAATTAAAACTTAAATAAGTATGCGGATTTTACATTTAAACATTTACTAAGCTACCCAACGGGGATTTGTTTTTAAAAGTTACGTTCTAAATGTATTTTAAATGTCTTTTAAACGTCTTCTAAACATTCTTATGCAAAAAACGTTTAAAAGACATTTAAAATACATTTAGAACGTAACTTTTAAAACCAAATGCCCGTCGGGTACAATCATGAAACTTTAAGATCTAAAACTGAACTAAATGAAGTTCAATATGAACCAGTTGTTAAAAAAGTGCGCAAGTTGATAATAATATTTAGACGATCACCTACCAAGCACGACATCTCACAAAAACATATTAAGGCTGAACTTGTAAAAAAACTGTCTTCAATTATGGATTGCAAAACAAGATTGAGCAGCCTTCTGTTAATACTTAAAAAGTTTACTAAAAGTAAAGAATTGTATACCAAGATCATTAATTGATATTTAGTCAGCGCAAGATAATTCTATATCTCTATCGCATGATGATTTGACAATATTATCAGGCATTATCACAACTTTAGTTCCGATTAAAGCAACGGTTGAAGCACTTCTTCGCCGAGATTCTATCCTATTTACAGCTGACATTGCTATTGATTTTTAACCTATTTACAGCTGACATTCATGCCTAACCTACTTACAGCTGACATTGCTATTAATTTTATGCTTACAAAATTAAAAGATGCTGACAACAACACAAGCAAGGAAATGTGTACAACTTTAATAGATCGTATACATGAACGCCGAACTGATATGAGTATACTTCTGCAATATCTGCATAACGTTCGAAGCTCAATTTAAGTCGATGAAGAAATAATTACAGTGCCTTCTTTATTTAAATGTCGAAAACTGTTGGTGGAATTGCTGGAAAGATTAAACATTTCCAATCCTGCTTTAATAATAGCATTAGTTGAGTCTAATATGCCAGATTTTATTGAAGAACCTGAAACTGAAAGTAAAACTTTAAGTATTGAAGAGGAGCTTGATAGTGAAGTTAAAGAAGCGCAATCACCGATGCAACCAGTTAGACATGAAAGATTGTTTTAAAGAATTCGAAAAGAAATGAAATTATTTGAAAATGGTGGTACACGTGGTGATTATTTAGAAAGAGTATATTCATTTTTAATGACGGTGAAACCGACAAATGTCGAGGCTCAGCGGGCAATTACTTCCGCGGGACTGTTTAAAAATAAATTCTTAACAGGTTAGTCTATGAAAGGTTTGACACGTTGTGCTTTTGAAGTCATACTTTAAGTTACATGAAATAAGATATATTTCCTTATTTCTAATTTCCGAATTTCATAACATAATTTTAAAATGTTGTTTTTCTGTGCATGTAACGATTTAATGTAAACACCATAACTTATAAAATATATTTTTGCATAAGAGTGTACTGTTTTCATTCTACTTAAAAATATATAGATGTTATACTTGTTTTTCAATCCCGGGATCCCGGGATTGATGTTTCACAATCCAGGAACTCCGGAATTGAGAAAGACCTCTGGGATTGCAAACCCTACCAATAACTCAAAAATACATTATGAACTTTTTACATCATGTTTCTATGTGGAATAAAAACATAATTGTTTATTTATAACATGTTTAATTTTCCAAAATATTTATTTTACTTTGATAAACTAAATAGAAGATTCTCACTTTATTTTTTATTTAAGCAATAAACTCATATAGTAATGCCAACATGAGCCCAAAAAAGCTAAGAAGACCTACAAAGTTTTTATTAGAAACAATATTTAGTATAAAAGATTTAGAAGAAAACCTTATTATTACATGTGTTTGATTCGCCAACTTAAAAAGAGCTCATTTAATATGGTTACAACTTTGAAAAAGATTTATTTTAAGGGCAGAAAATTAACTTTTTACTAGAAAACTCGCGACAATCTAAAACGCATCAATTGCTTATGTTTAATCATTTGATTGAGACTTTATGTTTTATTGACTTGTTACTTTATATTAAAACACTTTCAGTTTTATAATACTCACCTCATAAGCATCAGGGTTAAAGTCAGGGTTAGGGTTTGGGTTACCAAACACTAAGTTTTTTTCTACTTTATATACTCAGTTTAGGGTTAACCTTTATCAATTTTTTTTTTCAATTTCAATTCACCTCCCCAAACCACTACACTTGAAGAGACTATTTTAGTTGTGGTTACAACCCTCTCTGAACTGTATAACTCTAAACCTGACAAATTCAATTCCCACCTTGTCCCTGGTAGTACGGAACTCAACTTGCTCCTAGGCGCAGTGGCCTTGTTTGAGAAGATTCGTGTTTTTGAGTTATAGAGTTGAGAGAGGGTTGTAATCACAACTAATAGCCTCCTCAAGTGTTGTGGCCTTTATGGGTTTGGGGAGCTGAATTGAAATAAAAAAAATTTAAAAAAATTGACTGTGTAATAACTGAGTATAGTGCAATTTGTAAAAAAAACATAAGTGTTATTTCCATTGATACAATGCACCGTCAAGAATTTTTACAATTCAAAGTAATTGATGCAGATGGAAAAAAAGACTAAATTTCATTTCATAAACTTATGAATTTTTAAAAATGCAAGACAACCAAATACAAGAGCAAAGGGGCAAACTGTGTCAAACCTACTTTATGTCGAAATACGAAAACATCATTTCAAAATTAGTTGTGAAAATAATCCTTTTTCTGGTTATAACATGTTCTTTACATCAGTTGTTCTATAAGCATTACATAAGCATTAGTTCTGACAATTCATGTTCTGGCGCTTGTGTGTATAATGGTTTGTTTGTAAAATTAGGATAGATAATTTGCTTTACTAATCTGAGCTACAAGTTCTCCATGTTATATCCGAAATAAATGAAAAAAACAATGTGCCCAAAATGTATTATTCAAAAATGGTTTATTTATAAAATAATACAATATATCAACAAATAGGATAACAGAGTTCAAAAAATTATATTGATAAATCTTTAGGGTAACTTCTATTAATGCTGTGAAAAAAACATTCTTTATGTTATGCTACTAGATGATGAAGTTGTAATTGTTTATGGTCCAAATCTAATCCTTTATCTAAATCCAAAGTTTCCAGGAAAACTTATTAAAAGTCAGAAAAGCTTTTGTTTTTCAAAGCTAGGACCGATTTTCAATGTTAGGACCGATTTAATTGAGGTTTCTTCAATAAAGGTTGAAGTTTCAGTTTTTGTTTCTTTAAATTAGTTACTACAAGCTATTCAAACTTTTAATAAACTCTCTTTTAATGATCTGCCAAACAATTGCCAGAAAAAGTAGAATGAACTGTAAAATGCAAACTTGAAGCTTCTAAATATTTTTACGAACGGGGTAAAAGACTTTTTTTTGGCTAAAAACCAAAATTGAACCAAAAGCAAGAGAAATACAAAAAAGCTAGATATATATATTGTATACTTTTTTGAGAATAATAGTACAAACTTATGTAACAAATAATGAATAGTTTTTCATGCGACAAAAAGATTGTAAAAAGTGACTAACGGAGCCATCTAATTATGTAGATCTGAGAGGTGTGATAGCAGAATCAGATTGTAGATGAAGTCATTTAGGTAAAAAACATAAACTTATGTAAAAACTATTTAGTAGGAAGAATAAAGTTAAACAATTTTGGAAAAGGGGAACCATAATTCACACTCTGGTTATCCTTAGCATATGAAAAGACAATAATCTATGCGTATCAAGTCAATATAAATCAGCTGATTTATTAATGGCAACCATGGCTAAAATTATTGCACCATACAAAAACAATAAAATAAAATAAATAGATAACAAAATAATAAATAAAACGATAATAAATGAAAGTTAGGACTTTATAAAAATGGAAAATAGGTTAATAAATGTGGCGCTATTTATGGTTTAAACTCTATTATTAGATAATAAATTGAAAGCTGATAATCACCTGTGTAACATAAAAGTATAAAAATGTCGCTAATGTAACAAACTAATAATATAAAGCTCACAACGCGCTAAAATTCATGGGTTTAAGAGTTAAAAAAATGTTGGTGTTATAGTAACCAGCAAGAATTAAGTAGTAGGTGAATGATGATCAATTTTTCAGGTATGCACTGCGATCACCAATAACGTTTTGGAGAGCCCAAGACTTGCACTAACACCACCCTTCAGGAGCATGTTTTTGTAACAGATCTCACCACCTGCACTCTCTTTAATAATATTACAAACTTGAAAGTTACAAATATTGAAATTGGAAACTATTTTTTTAAAGACTATAAAAAAGATGGCCCCAACTATTTCTAAACACAGCCATTTTTAAATAAACTTCTGTGAACATTTCACATAAAAACTTTAAAATTGCTTCATTGCTAAGTATTTTAAAAAATACTTTATTCTACTAAACATTTATAAAACACGAATATATGAAAACTTTAACATAAATCGAATATCCAAAAGCCTGACTCGCAAAGGAGTGCTGCTACATTGATTGAGGGTTTGGTTAGGGTCAGCTTCAAGGTCAGGCATAGGGATAGATTAGAGATTTTAAAAAGTTATTCAACAATTTCAGATAAATTGAAGATCAATAAAAACTAATTTTTTTTTTAATTTTATTATTTAGAAAGTTATGGACGTGGGATTTATTGGGATTCTGAAAACACTAACATTTATGTCTGTATGAATCAACAACTTCCGAGGTATTGCTTTTGATGAAAAAAAAAGCGTTTTTATATTATCTAGACTTTTTTGAGGTGAAGTCAAAAAGTGTTAAATACATACATATTACTAAATTTTGGAATATAATAACAAAATTTAGTTATTTATGAATATATTTTCTGTCAAATTGTTTCTGTAAGTTTTTTTTTTAATAAAGTAGCCACAATTTTTATTACTTAATAATTTCTGTTCAATTAGTTGTTCACGGCTAAAAAATGGTACACTCAATAGTTTTAAACTGCAGTTGTTCTCATCATTATATAATTGTTAAAGTTTTAAATTTAAAATTTAGTACAGAAGTGGCATGTTATTTTTCAAAAGATGAAGGAAAATCATGGTTGGGTATAACTTTAACATGTTTGTTTCTTCAATTATATCTTTAAAAAAACTAAATAATAGCGTATAATATATCTGTGTTGTTAGAACTTAAACTAAATTATATATTATATTATGTATTTATGAACTATGTAACAGAATGAACTTTGTAACATTATGCGCCTAATGTAATGCATCATATATTATATATACATAAATATATATACATACCAACCCAGCGGGCACCCGATGTCAATCCGACGTCGGATTTACGTTTGATTTTCATCAGCGATGTCAAAAGACCTATTCCGACGTTGTTCCGATGTCAGTAAAATGACGTCGGGCGATGTCTTTATCTCAACATTCCCTGACGTCGTTTCGATGTATTTTGACGTTGTTCCGACATCTTATAAAAGACGTCCAAAAAACGTCGCAGTACTGACATCGATCCAACGTCGATAAAAAGACGTCGGGCAACGTCATAATATTAACGTACTCCGATGTCTTTTGACGTCTTCCGACGTCAATCCAACGTCCTTAAAACGACGTCGGAACAACGTCGTAAGACATCGCTGATGAAAATTTAATCCAAACCCAACAATATGTGTGCAATTGCGCTCTTCAATAATTATGTGAACTAAGCGTGTTTTTTTATTAATGGAAAAAAGTTTGAATAAAGGTTGATAAAACATCATGAGGTTTTGTATGATGCACTAGCATAGTTTTTTAACTATTAACATTTTCGAGTATACAATTTTTATAATATATAACTATTCGTTTTAATATTTATATAATATTTAAACAAAATTAATTCTTATCAAAGTAATAATTCCCAAATAGCTACAAGTATAAATTACTAAATAAACTCATCAATTAATATGTCCTTGTGGTGTAGTGGTAAGCGCATAGGATTTAGTAACTAATAGACCGAGGTTCGATTCCTGCCAATGGCAGCGTTTTTTAGTTTTCAAAAAACACGTTGGATTTACATCGGAATGCCGACGTCGCGCGATGTCAGTTTATCCGACGTCAAATAACATTTCCATTTCCAACGTAAACCCAACGTCGATCCGACGTCGAGATCCGACGTCGCTCGACGTTCGTTTGACGTCGAAATGCCCACTGGGAATAAAAACACACACAAACACACACAAACATACACACACGCACACACATACACAAATAATAAATCTACGAGTGCGAAAAAGTACTCTATATATCAAAAAAATGTTATGTAGTATTCAGCCTTATTAAAGCATAATATGAGGTTCTTAAGCTTTGTTAGACAAAAAAAATCTAAGCTGAAGGTTCTCTTTGCTTATGCAGATCTCATATTGATCTTAAAAACACTTGAATGCTTGTTATTTGTTTTTGAAAAATTTTGCTGAAGGTTGCTGAATTTTTTTTTACTAAGTTTTTTTACTAACGTTTTTGGTATTTATTCATCTATTCCTCTGATCATAAATACCAAAAAATCCAGTGTTTCTCGGGAATTCAATTTTGCATTAATTAATTTAGGTATTTTCTCAAACTTAACTTTCGAAAATGTTGCAGGATCTTTAAAAAAGCAGATTATCTGAACTAGATACAATAGAAGTTTTAAATTATCACGTCATCTTACTGCTTTAGTAACCACTTCTTGACTATTCTTGAAATTCATTTTGAGTTGTTTGTTATATTTTACAAGTTCAGGGATAAATGAATACTCCATATTGGTCAATATGTTTATACCAAAAATGTTTTTCATCCATCACTACACAAAAAACTCGGACACATCATTTTAAAAATTTCGTGATGTAGGTGACCTTTTTTGATATATATATATATATATATATATATATATATATATATATATATATATATATATATATATATATATATATATATATATATATATATATATATATATATATATATATATATATATATATATATATATATATATATATATATATATATATATATATATATATATATATATATATATATATATATATATATATGCTAAATTTGTATTTTTTATAACGGTTTTTATTTTTTACTTCAATAATATGGCTGATGATTGCCAAATGGCATTAAACTTTTAGTTCCATCATAAAGTTGTATTTTTTTCATTTAAATTATTTTATTATTATTTGATCTATTTTTTTATAAAAAAGATATTGATCACTCTTAAACAGACAAGAGTTGTATTTTCCAGCAGTATACAACATTTATCAATAAATTTATTGCTCCTCCTGTTGAGCACTCTTCTCAAGTCCTTAAAAATGAAGAAAGTTAACTTCAATTATTTAATAAAAAATATCCTTATACCATCAAATAGAGAATACAAATTGCGATTGCTTAAAAAAATCGAGATACTGATTAAAATAATGAGATGGAAGGTATTTTTCTTCATGAATAACCAGTCTAACGGTATGAATAATATTAATAATAATAATAATAATAATAATAATAATAATAATAATAATAATAGTAATAATAATACCAGTTTTAGTTCTTATGGTATTAACACACAGCAATGTCCACAACAGATTAATGATATGCGTGCATTTGAATGCGATTTATTCAAATTTATTAAAAACACACAGTTTAGGATTGTACCATGTAGCTTCCAAAATAAATTAAAAAAAGACATTTCTACTATTCGAAAATGAACGTATATTTACACTCACGCTGACAAAGCATCAAACTTATATAAATTATCAAAAGACGAATACAATAAGTTATTAATGAACGCGACTACATCTAATTATAAAAAAAACCAACTCTATAATAAAAGATCGCATTAATAAAGAAGGAAAAACTATTCTTAAAAATCATGAAGTTTTTAACAAAATCAATAAAAACAGTTCTTCCAATGGTTTCATTACATTAAATGACCATAAACCTAATTTTTTAAATAATCCTACTGTTCGTCTAATCAACTCAGCTAAGAATAAGGTTGGTAGAATAAGTAAGCATATTTTATCAGGTATTAACACCAACCTTAGAAATATTTTGCAATTAAATGAGTGGAATAGTACACAAAATGTAATAAACTGGTTCAAAAACATCAATGACAAACATTTTTATAAATTCCTTATTTTCAACATTGTTGACTTTTACCCTTCTATTAATGAAAAGCTACTTATCGGTTCCATAAATTTTGCAGAACAATACGTTTCCATTGATGCTGATCATTAATTCTTAATTATCCACGCGCGTAAATCTTTATTATTTACTAATGACCAAGTTTGGATTAAAAAATCAAGTGGTTTGTTTGATGTTATTATATATTACCTTACCATAAACCTGATATTATGTTAAATTATATCCATGCTAATTCCAACCATCCATCAAGCATTTTAAAACAATTACCAATCTCAATTGGACATAGGTTATCTTCCAATTCTTCAGGCGAAAAAATATTCCAAAAGACTGCTCCAATTTATAATGACGCATTAGAAAAATCTGGATTTCACACCATTCTACAATTTCATTCAAATCTAAATTCTTCTATTACTAATAAACGAAAAAGAAATATTATATGGTTTAACCCTCCTTACAGTAAAAATGTGATAACAAAAATTGGACATATTATCTTAAACTTAATTGGCTTTCATTTTCCATTACATCACAAGCTCCACAAAATATTTAACAGAATCACAATAAAAATAAGTATAATATTCGATCAATAATTAATTCACACAACCAACAAATTTTGCGCAACAAACTTACCGGTAATGATTTAAACTGCATTAATAAAACCACATCCCCGTTAAATAATCAATGGCTATCAAAAAATGTTGTTTATAAAGCCACTTTAGAATCACCTAATACCAGTCTTACCGAAAAATCCAACATCGGAATTAGTGAAAACACATTCAAGCTCAGATTTGCAAACCATCTTAAATCACTTAATGCAACCAGGTGTAGGAATGATGCGAAACTTTCCAAGGAAATCTGGAAACTTAAAGACGCGGGTAACATGCCTATAATTAAGTGGAACATAATTAAAAGATGCCAATTTATTAACCCATCTACAAAAAAGTGTAACCTTTGCATCAATAAAAAGTATTTTATTATGACTTTTGATTGTCGACTACTACTTAACAAAAAAAGTGAATTGGTTTCTGCTTGTAGGCATAGGAAAAATTTTTACTAACTTTGATTCCGGCGATTAGCAAATATCGGATTACGTACAATTGTCAGATGCTGTTGCAACACTAAATTTGTATTTTTTATAATGGTTTTTATTTTTTACTTGAATAATATATTGAATAATATGATTGCCGAATGGCATAAAACTTTTAGTTCCATTATAAAGTTGTATTATTAAGTTTTGAATTATTGTAAACTTTAAATTTTAAACATTTTAATGTCAGAATATTACTGGCATACAACTTTTATTAATTTGATTTAAACCCCCTTTAAACGGAAAATGTATAGCTGTACTTAATATAACTGCATTTTATTTCTTGTAGAGTATCTACAAGATACTTTTTTAATGTTCTCAAAAAATATAAATGCATGAACAAATGTAAACTTGATGATTAGAAATGTACAGATGATCATATTTATATAATATCTTACCAAGAACAAAAAAGAACGAAAAAAACCCTTGTTTCTTGTTTTTGCCAGCTTTAAACGATTCGTTCCATACTATGGTAAAGTAAAGTTTTACTTTAGCATAATATGGTAGATCCTAATTAACTGATTTGTAACAATTTGTTATATCTTGACGTTTGGTACTTTAGTGAGTGGTATTTAATTCTTGAAACATGTTTCTTAAATTTACAATTACTTTGTTTTGTTTAAAAGCAATACATTTAAGTATAAGTTTGATTGAATTTAAAATATTTGTTAAGCATTTTTGATCAAGTTGAAACTTTTAGTGACACTTTTTGAAATACATTTTACCTCCAAAATGACATTATCAAATCAATTGTTAATAATAATTTTTTGCAATACATTATCAAATCATTGTTTAGTTAAACTTTTTTGCTCTACATTTTGCCTCTAAAATAACATTATTAATCTAATTAGTTAGTTAACATTCTTTTTTTAAATGATCTTGATTGTTTGATTGTACACAAGTAATTTTAATGTTTAGACTAGAGTTATTAACCGGAAGATTTCGTACAACTCCAGAAAACTAGAATTCCTTCGGAAAGGTGTTTAGAATCAGGAATTTTATTTATTTATTTTTTATTTCGTACCGAATTTTATGAAACAAAAAAAACCGTCGATATTCATTTCGCAAATGCTACTTATGAAATGTTGCCTTTCGCAAGTCCAATTACGAAAGAAAACTATTTTGCTACATATGCAAGTAAAGCTTACAAAACGAGCAAGTAGCACTTGCAAAACGAGCTCTTTCGTTTAACTTTTTAAAGACTTTTTAAAGTCTAACAAAAAACTTTCTTGGACAAACGGATATAATTATAAAAAATAAAAGTTTTATATACCAAAATTTTCATAATAAAAATTTATTTTCAGTATTGCATCATTTGAACATTTTAAGGTTTTATTTTTTAAAATAATGATAAAAAATCAAATTTCTTTCGAAACGAAAATCTTTTGCACCGCAACTTGCGAAACAGTTTTTAAGAGAAAAAAAAACTTATGAAACGTGGCATAATGATTGTATTTAATTACATTTTATGAATCAAATACGTATAAATAACTGAAAAACTAAATACTAATTTTTTAAATGGTATTGATAAGTTTCAGTTTTTTATAAAAAAAATTAAAAAAACAAAATTTTATAAAAAAATCTAGACTTACATATAACAGAATTTTTAAATGTCTTGAATTAATGAATTAGAATTAAATAATGAAGATACTGAACAACTTTAATATACGAATGCAATAATCGGGAAGATACTGAACAACTTTAATATACAAATGCATAATCGGGAAACAATGCCTTTGTTGAAATCATAAAAAGACCAAATTTAAGTAATGTTTCTAAAACGCATTTAAGTATAACATACCTAAAAAAAGCTCTCACTTGTTTTCAAATTGAATAGTTTTATGATTTGTTAGTTTAAATTTTTTTATTTTTTAGGTGCTCTATTACATGCGCTTTTGCTTGTATTACTTCAATAACAATAAGTAAAGTTAAAAAAAAATTAAAATCATCCTTTAAAAAGTCATATATATATATATATATATATATATATATATATATATATATATATATATATATATATATATATATATATATATATATATATATATATATATATATATATATATATATATATATATATATATATATATATGTATATATATATATATATATATATATATATATATATATATATATATATATATACATACATACATATCCTTATAGTGTAGTCAAAAGAGACTTTTATGGTAAAAAAAGTCTCTTTCGACTAAAATTTTTTTACCTCGTCTCTTAAGCTGCATTTTATTGTCCACGGCTGCTAAGAATCAGTAAGCGACACTATTTTATTTAAACAATAATCGATTAGATTTTTTTGTATAAAAGTTTAATGAACGCTTTAGAGTCTATTCCGTAAGTGTACACTCCGAAACGATACTCCCGTATGGTAACTGTTTTCCAAATGTTTTTTCGAAATGATTTATTTTGCAAGATTTTTTTCGTAAAGGCTTTTTATGGAACTATCATTGCTTATTTTTTTTTTGTATTATGCGTTACGGAAGAAAAGAATGCGAAATTTTTGTAACCTTTTGTTTGCGGCGAACAACCCTAGTTCAGACACATTGTTTACCTGTCTAAATATAAAAAATACAATTTTGCTATTTGAATTTTTTTTAGGATCATTTTTATTTTTATACATGCACAAATTATTATAATAAAGTACTTTAAAATTTTAAATAAAAAATACTTTTTTAGAATTAGATGTACGTATTGGATCTGTTCTCGGTCATCACTCAATAACTAAACAACTTTATGCAATCCACCGAAACCAGAAAACATACATGATGTTTTGTCAGATAAAGAAAAGATGGTTGTCGTTGACAAACCAACAATTTTATCATAAAGCTTATAGTTATATTGATTCAACTAAGCGAAAAGTTATGGAAAGCGAATATGATCAATCATTCACTTTTGGATCAAACCAATGGCTAGGTAAAAAATTTCTTCATTGTTTTATTCGCATTATGTGTTTATTAGCATCTTTTTTACTGATTGTTTTAAAAAAAATTACTTGATTTTTAATATATTAGGAAACGCTGAAGGTTTGTTTTTCCGAAAGTATAATAATGATTCCTGGACACTAAGATTAAAGTGGTTTTAATAATTACCCCCATGTATTTTGAAAGGTATTACTTACATGTAAAAAAAAAGAGTAGATATTCAGATGTGTATTTGCTTTTTTATATAATTTATGCCTTTCTTGTCGTTTCTCTTCTATGTGTGCATATATATATATATATATATATATATATATATATATATATATATATATATATATATATATATATATATATATATATATATAGATATTCATATATATATATATATATATATATATATATATATATATATAGATATATATAAATTTTGAATTAATATTTTAAGGGGTTGCTTAATATTATCATTATATTATTAAAATATGTTTTTTCTGAAGTATTTTATTTCGGTTTTCAAAAAAAGAAAAACTATATAAAAATCTAGAAAAAATTTTTCATTTTATATAGGAAACATTTATGAAAAAAAAATTATATAATAAAAATGTCATGTTAAGTTTTCTTCTTTTCATTTATAGTTTTTTAATTTTTTGTTTTTTTATTATTTATTTATTTAGCCGTATTAAAGATTTAAATTAATTTTAAGTGATTTAGTTTAAACCTTTAAATTGTTTTCAAAAAAGGCATTTGAAATCTAATATATCGAACTCCATGTTCAGTAAATGCCGTTTTGAATCATCCTTAAAACTTTGCAAAGTGCAGCTTAAATCGAAGTTTTGTTTTTTACTAAAGATTGGAACATATTTTTTCCAAACTGAAGGTCCCCGATATTGAATTTGGTACGAACTTAATTTAAGAAGGTTTATGGGAACCACAAAGTTATTCACTTAAAATTTGGTTTGATACTTATGGGAGACTTCATTAAAGTAGGATTGAAATGTTACTGGAGAAAACCCAAGTTTTGCTTTAAACATAAATATCATTACTTGATAAATACTAAGCTTATAAATGTTTAAAGTTCCAAGCTGACGTAAAAGAGGTTTGCATTGTGTTTTTCTATTTGCCCCAAATACTATTCTGCAAGCATGTTTTTGTTTACTATAAATTTTTTTGAGTTTAGTGTGATTAGTGCTACCCCAGGAAATCTTACAGTATAAAAGATAGCTGTGTATAAACGAAAAATATAAACTTTTTAAAGACTCGTTGTTAAGAAAAGCTTTTGTTCGGTATAACATCGCAATATTTTTTGGGATCTTACCTTCAATATATTTAATATGAAATTTCCATGACAATTTTTTATCAAAGAGCACTCCCAGAAAGTAGTCAATTCCCTCTTAATTGTTTTATTATTGATTAAAAGATTGGGTAGTTAAAGAGAAATATTCTTGGCTTTATTAGATTTATGGAACAGGATAAGTTTCGTTTTCTCTACATTTAATGATAGTCAGTTACTTATAAACCACTCGTTGATCTTTTCTAATTCTTCGTTAAATATTTTAAAAAGTAATCTTTGTGAGAATAAAACAAATTTTTTTCATCTGCAAATAAGATAGTATTTAATACTTTTGATGATAAATATAAATCATTCACATAAAGTAAGAACAATAATGGTCCCAAAATAAAACCTTGGGGTACTCCACAAGTTATTGAGTTATTTTTTGAATGTTTTGATTCTTTAAGTATAAATTGTTTTCTGTTAGTTAAGTATGATTTAAACCAAATTAAACTTTGATTTTCAACACCATAGTTTTCTAATTTTTTTAAAAAGAATTTCATGATTTACTATGTCGAAAGCTTTGGATAAATCAAGAAAAACCCTTGTTGTATAGCAACAACTATTAAATACATTTGACATATGCTTAACCAATTCAATTATTGCATGGTCAGTAGAATGATTTTTTTTAAAACCGTTTTGATTATTATATAAAATTTTATTTTCAGATAGATATTTATAAAGTCTGTTGTACATAATACGTTCAGTTTAATAATATAAGTTTCTGTTTACTTAATTCTAAAATTTAATAATAAAATCATAAATGTTTTTGAAATTTTTTTATAGTTTTGCTTCGTTTAAGACGCAACATAAAATTCTTTTAAAAAACGTTTTATTTAAAAACATTAGAGAACATTTTAATGTTCGAGACTCGGTAGCAACCTCTTGAATTATTTTTTTATTCAAAACTTTTGAAATCTAGTGTTTTTTATTTTGTACAACATATTTAGTAGATTCCAACAGTTATTTTCAAAAAATGTTGTTTTTTAAAATATATATATATATATATATATATATATATATATATATATATATATATATATATATATATATATATATATATATATATATATATATATATATATATATATATATATATATATATATATATGTAAATATATTCATATATATATATATATATATATATATATATATATATATATATATATATATATATATATATATATATATATATATATATATATATATATATATGTAAATATATTCATATATATATATATATATGTATATATATATATATATATATATATATATATATATATATATATATATATATATATATATATATATATATATAATATATATATATATGTACATATATATATGTATATATATATATATATATATATATATATATATATATATATATATATATATATATATATATATATATATATATATATATATATATATATATATATATATATATATATATATATATATATATATATATATATATATATATATATATATATATATATATATATATAGATATGTTTGTATGTATGTATGCATTTATTTATATTTATTTATATATAATTTGCCAAATGTAAATATACTTTGTGTTTGGATTTATTTTTAAAATTTTTGCTGTAAAATAAGAATTTAAAAAAAATTATAATAAATTTTATTCTACTTTTATGACTTTTTTATGTAAATATATAATGCTGACATCGGAGAGGGTGTAGTTTCAACTCGTTTTATATGTTTTTTCAAGTTTCTTTTAGGTATTCTTGGTGCTTTTTCTAAAGTAAGAGGTTTTTTAGATATGAAAACGTGCCTGCGATTATATTGGTTGCGAATAATAAATTGTTGCAATAAAAATTTAGAAAAAAGTTAAAACTCAGAACTAGGTTTAACAACTTTATTAAAAACTTACGTGAGAAAATAAAAATAGATATTGCTGTGTTAATATAGATAATAATTGTTCTAATTAAAATTTTATTGAAATAATGATCCAGTAAGCTTTGTAAAAAAAATATTTAACGAGCATTTTTATATTTTGTTTGCTGCATTGTTGTTTTTTATGAAAATCATTTTACGAATGTAATTTTTTTAATTAGATTAGAGTATTTAAATAGTTATTATTTGACTATTCTGAAAAATTTCATTAATTTATTCATTACCTTAGTTGTTGGCTTATTTTTATTCTAAATGCGTACACGATCAATATGTAATTATCTATACCTTCAATGTGTACATAAACGACCATTCAAGTTATAGATATTCACATAATATTTTTTTAAGACTATTTTTTGGCTAACTCAAATGCCTCAGTCAATCATATCACAAAAATAGCTGTTTTTTTGCATTTCTTGCTCCTTTTTGAAATTTAGGCTGATGCAAATGTCAAAGTATATTAATGCAAAGTTGTATCTTTATATCCTTGACCTTAAAAAATAGGTGTAAATAATTTATAAGCTTATATTATATTATATATTTATTTATTTATTTATTTTTAATTTTATTTCATTTGGTTGTTTATATAAATTACAACTTTCTTTCACCAAAAATAAAATATAATTACAAATGTACAAGTAATAAACAGTCAGGGGCTCAAAGAAGATATGGATGGCAAAATACCAATCTAATCTTTTCATAGAGTCCCTACAGATCATAACAATAATATATGGTAATATATGATTAATAAATCAAGTAAAAAATTTAGGAAAAAAAAAATAGTAAAAAAGAAGATATAATATTTAAGAATAAAAATAGAGAAAAAAGAAGATGTATCAATTAAATGTAAAAACACCCTCAATTAGTCAAAAAAGAAGATATAATATTTAAAAATACATATAGTGAATAAAGAACATATAGTAATATATATATAGTTATATGATAAAGTGAAATAGGTGCAAATAGTTTATAAGCTTATATTAATTATATTATATTATAAAGCGTTGGCGTTACAAATGTAAAACTGTTTTCAAGTTAAATGATTATCAGACCGGCTTCTGGTTTAAATGTAAAGTTTTCAGGAAACTTACAAGTTTACTAACTTACAACAGCTTTATTGGAGCTTTCAATTTTTCCCATTCAAAAAACATTGGAACCGTGATTTTTTAAAGCCTTTTAGAAGCTACATTTTAAAACTTCTTCTCTTTTTAAAATGGCTTCTAATAAATACATATAATAAACTTCTATAAATATAGACTTGAATATAATTAAATTAGAAGGTAATTGCAGTGTTTGTATTCTTTTTCACCTTCTGTTGTTGCATTTTTTTTTTCTGAATGTCAAAGCGCTGCTTTTTTATATCAAATCTTTAATACTGAAAAAAAAAAAAAAAATTTATACTGGTTTTAGTTATAAGACCCCTTAAAAAACTTTTACATAAAATATGATACTTCCAAAACTACAACTAGATGCAATAAACATTTGATTAAAATTTGTAGATTACTAATAATGAAAGATTGGCATCTATTCTATTTCTAACAATACCAGCTACTGATTTCGTCAGGGAAATGAGCATGCCAATTTTTTCCAGCTGATCATTTATACAAGCATTTTATTCAAGCCAAATTTATACATTTTAAATCATTGACATTATGGGTATCAGTTATTCCATATTATTATTATTATTATTTTTTTATTGTCAATTAGAGTATTTGTTAATTAGCTTTTGCCTCAATTTCCTTTAATTTTTTTTTTCTCAGTTCTTAAACTACTACCTATATGTACATTCCCAACACATTCCAGCTAACACACCGTTATACCAGAACAAGTTTCTTTAACATAAGAATATCTTTTACAATTGCCATCACTATTCAAAATAAACTATGGTCAACATACAATAGTTTGTTTTGTGAAATAGAATGACTAAATATTCTTTGTGCAGCTATTTTTATCCGTGCCATTAGCTGAGCAACCGG